CTAGCAAGCAGACTTAGTTCTGCAGCATATGCCGTAAAAAAGATTAGAAGTCTAACTAGTGTCGAAACAGCTAGACTAGTTTATTTTAGCTGTTTCCATAGCATAATGTCGTATGGTATTTTGCTATGGGGACACGCAGCTGACACTGAAATTATATTTCTTCTACAGAAGAGGGCCATAAGAGCAATTTATGATTTAAAGCCTAAAGAATCGCTGCGACAAAAATTTAAGGAAATTAATATATTAACTTTGGCCTCTCAATACATTTATGAAAATGTAATGTACATACACAAAAATAAAAGTAGTTTTACAAAAATGATTGATATTCATTCTGTAAACTCGACTCCATCGAGTCAGTAATTGATTCTTGGTGCGATGTATACGCTTTTACAAAAAAATTCCAAAAAATATACAAAATTTACCTGCTCAAAGTTCTAAAACTTTATTAAACTAAGTTTGTATAAAAAGGGTTATTATAATATTAAAGAATTTATAGATGATAATAACTCCTGGAAATGAGGTGATCGCTACCAAGCTATTTCTAATTCGTTGTGTTGTTAATTTGTGTAACATACATGATTGTAAGCTGTTATTTAAAAAAAAGTCCCGCTGGGTTTCTTGCTGGTTCTTCCCAGGGCAGAGGTTTTTTTTCGAACCAGTGGTAATTATACAAAAGAGTGACTTTCAATAAGTATTGTTACGCGCCACTAATTATGTCTTGTACATGGCAACACTAGTTACACTAGCGCCCTCTGGTGTCGAGTAAAAGAAAGTGTTGCGCGTCACTATTAATGTCTTGTACATGGCAACACTAGTTACACTAGCGCCCTCTAGTGTCGAGTAGCAGAACTAGGAGAGTCGAGATCCTTCCAGAAATTTCGGGACCGATATGTACTCGAACATTCTAGATGTCGCTACAGTGAAAGGTTCTGGAAACTGTCAGAGGCCCTATATAAGGCCGGTATGGACCACGACCAAGGCAGTATTGAATTGGCGATACAAGAGAATACTTCGAAGCAAAATAAAGGCGAACTGTGTTTTATTATTAGTGTGATTTTAAGTTGTAATTAGTGTTGTGTAATTAAAGTGTCAATTTTGGTAATTCAATCGGCAGTTTTTAATTGTCTCGAACCCCAAGCTCGTAACAATTGGTGTCAGAAGTGGGATCAAATATGCCGATTTTACCTAAAGACGACACGGAGGGTATCCGTACCCGAAGTCAACGCCAATAGGAGACGGACCAGAGACGATTTGGTAATGCAACGCCGCAAACGTCGGATGGGCAGCTGCTAACCACGGAGGTCGGCCCGTCAGCAGCTCCTGCATCTGCAGCACCTGACTTAGGTGCTCTGATGATGATGCTGCAGGATCAGGCTCGCCGACAGGAGGAACAGGCTCGCCGACAGGAGGAACAGGCTCGCCGACAGGAGGAACAGGCCCGCCGACAGGAGGAACAGACCCGTCGGTTGGAAGAGGAAGGTCCTCAGGAAGGACCTTCACGCTACCTTCGGGAAAGAGATAAAGGAGGTGAAGGATAGGGTTGCTCAACATGACAACCGCCTGTCGGAAGCTGAAACCCGAATCGACCAAGTGAACAATCGGGTTGACAACGTGATGGCTGATGTGAAGAAAACGCTGGACGACCTCAAACTTGGGGATGGAATTACAGTTCCCGTGGTAGCTACAACACCTTCGCTACGTGGATTCAAAGTGCCGCCGTTCGACGGGAGTTCTTCCTGGTCGGCCTACAAAATCCAGTTCGAGGCTGTCATGAAAGCGAACGGCTGGAATAAAAGTCAGGCCATGACTGCTCTCACCCTAGGCCTACGCGACCAGGCCTTAACTGTTCTGGAAGCTCTCGGTAAGGAAGTGACTTACGAGCAGCTCCTTGAGGCATTGGAGGCGAGATATGGCGATGCTCACCTGGAACACGTCTTTCGTGCGCAGCTCAAAGATCGCGTGCAACGCAGTAACGAAAACCTGCAGCAGTGGGCCCTTGAGGTGGAGAAGCTGGTTCGAAAAGCGTACCAGTCTGTACCTGCGCTCATTATAGGGAACCTGGTGCAGACATTCATCGACAGCATCCGCGACCTTGAAGTCAGAGCTGCTGTGAGGCTCGGGCACCACGAGACGCTTAAGGACGCCTTGGCCCATGCACTGGAGGTGGAAGCCGTACGGCAGGATCATTGTTCCCACCGCGTCAGGGAGGTGGCAGCAGCTACAGTTCAGGACCGCAATAAGGGTTACAGCCCTAGGTGCTACGGCTGTGGGGAAAGGGGCCATCTTCGATCCAGCTGCCCTAAACGAACTGTAGAAAGGGAAGGTGATCGATATCGAGAGGGTAGTGTGGCTGACAGCACCGCCCAGCAGCAGCAGGGAAACTGGCGGGTGCTGGCTGATGTTAAAAGAGACCCAAGGATCTCGATCTCACAAACCCATGATGGGAACAGCCTAATCATCAAGGGCGAAGTCAACGGAACGCCGTGTAAACTGACCATAGACACTGGAGCCTCTCGCACGGTTGTCAGTTCCCAACTTATAAGTCGGTTCCTTGGGGACTCCGCATACAACCGAGAACGCATTAATTTGGTGACAGCCACCGGTCAGCGCATACCCGTCCGTAGAGAGAAGGAGATGGAGTTGAAGCTAGGCAACATGATCTACCTGCATAATGTCATCGTGGCTGATGTAATGGACGACTGCATCCTGGGCCTAGACTTTATGAGGAAGAATTGTTGTGAGATCGACGTTAAGCAAGGTGTTTTGAAATGTGGACAAGAGGAACTTTTCGTGGAAGGGGCGTTACCAGGGAATGTGTACAGCCTTAAGAAGATTGTTCTTCCGCCGAGATCGGAAACGATTGTGCCGGTTAGACTTCCACGGAATCCTGGGCAAACTCTTCGTTGTGTACTCGTGGAAAGGGTAGACAATGACCTTCCATGGAAAGTAGCTCGAACCTTGGTCAGAACCGCCGACATCTCAGGAGTACGTGTGCTGAACCTTTGTGATCAGGAACAGATTATAGAAAAAGGCACATTGGTTGGTACTAGTGAGGAAGTGGATTGGTTGCGTCGGTGCGAATATCTATCGACTGGGACCCCCAGCAAGGATGGACAAACTAGAGTGACCACACTTTTAGAAGACTGTCGCAGCGTTCTCTCCCCGAATGAAATGGTCAAAGCGAAGAAGTTGTTACTCAAGTACGCCAATGTTTTCTCGTCAAACGAAGCTGACATAGGAAAGACTGGCTTAGTTCAACACAAAATAAACACAGGGCAAGAATTGCCTATTCGTCAGCGGCCAAGAAGATTGCCTGTAGCACGTGAAAAGGAAGTGGAAGCCATGATTGAGGGAATGGTGAAGGATGGTGTTATTGAACCTTCATCTAGTCCATGGTGTTCACCTGTGGTGCTGGTAAAGAAGAAGGACGGCAGCATGCGATTTTGTGTTGACTACCGCCGCCTGAACGACGTTACAAAGAAGGACAGCTATCCCTTGCCAAGAATTGATGACACGCTGGACATGCTTACAGGCGTAAAGTGGTTTAGTACGCTGGATCTGAAAAGTGGCTACTGGCAGGTTGAAATTGACCCTAAGGACAAGGAGAAAACTGCATTCTCCACAGGAAAGGGCCTGTGGCAATTTAAAGTCATGCCGTTTGGATTGTGCAATGCTCCAGCAACGTTTGAAAGGTTGATGGAGCTTGTACTTACCGGGCTAATTGGAGATGCCTGTCTCGTCTATTTGGATGACATCATCATCGTAGGCCGTACGTTTGAGGAACACCTTCAAAACCTGGAACGCGTGCTCATGAAGAGCCAGAGTGCCAACCTCAAGTTGAGTCCAAAGAAGTGCTCACTATTCAAACGGCAAGTTAGTTTTTTGGGGTATGTAGTGTCGGAAGAAGGTATCCGCACGGATCCAGAGAAAATTGCTGCTGTCAAGGAGTGGCCGGTCCCAAAAGACAAGACACAGGTTAGAGCATTTTTGGGTTTGTGCTCTTATTATCGACGATTTGTGAAGAACTTTGCAGATATAGTCAAACCTCTGCACAAGCTAACCGAGGAGAAGCGACAATTCTGCTGGGATGAAAGTTGCGATATTGCATTCCAGGAGTTCAAGAACCGTCTGTGCAAAACACCTATTTTGGGGTACCCTGATGCGGGCAAGGAATTCATAGTTGACACAGACGCAATTGATATAGGACTTGGCGGTGTGTTGTCTCAACGGAATGGTGATCAAGAGATTGTGATAGCGTACTTCAGCAAGTCGTTGTCAAAGCCGGAAAGGAACTATTGTGTCACAAGACGGGAATTGCTTGCTGTGGTAAAGTCCTTGCAGCATTTTAGCAAATATCTTCTAGGGCGGAAATTCCACTTACGAACTGACCATGCTGCACTGAAATGGCTATTGCAGTTCAAAAATCCGGAAGGACAAGTTGCGAGATGGATTGAACTACTGCAGGAATACGACTTTGTGATCGAACATCGCAGCGGGAAATCTCATGGCAATGCAGATGCATTGTAAAGAAGACCTTGCCCTGAAGATTGCAAGCATTGTACTAGGCAAGAGGGTAAGGAAGTAGTATCTGTGAGAATGCTCAGGACAGACCAGCTCAGCAATGAGTGGAAGGACAGCCTACAACATGCACAGCAGGAAGATTCGGACATTAAGCCGATTCTGGAATGGATGAAGGCCAGTGCTCCTAAGCCCAAGTGGAGCGACGTCTCAGCTATGAGTTCGACCACGAAAAGCTATTGGGCCCAATGGGACAGCTTGCTGATTCAGGATGGAGTCCTGTGCCGTAAATAGGAAAATGGTCGGGGAGACAGGTGTCATTTGCAAATGGTTGTCCCTAAGGCTAAAGTGCCGGATGTCCTACAGCTGTACCATAGTGGTTGTTCAGGAGGCCACCTGGGAGTTAAACGAACTCTCCTGAAGATCCGAGAATGGTTTTACTGGGTCCACTGTCGTGACGATGTCGAGGACTGGTGCCGCAAATGTACAAGTTGTGCGGTTGTAAAGGGACCTCAAATTCGTCATTGAAATTGTACAATGTTGGTGCACCATGGGAGAGGATAGCCATTGACGTTGCGGGGCCGTTTCCAGAAACTGAAAGTGGTAACAAGTATTTCATGGTTGTGATGGATTACTTCACTAAGTGGCCAGAAGTCTTCGCCATTCCAAATCAAGAAGCTTCAACCGTTGCAGATAAACTAGTTCATGAAGTCTTCTGTCGTTTTGGAGTACCTTTAGAGATTCACAGCGATCAAGGAAAGAATTTTGAGTCACAAATATTCCAGGAAACTTGCCGAGTTATGGGTACTCAGAAAACACGAACAACTTCTTACCACCCACAATCTGATGGAATGGTAGAAAGATTTAATCAGACATTGGAGAGGTACCTAGCAAAGGTTGTGGAAAAACGGCAACGAGACTGGGACAGGCACATACAACCGTTTTTGTTGTCATATCGAAGCGCTGTTCACGAAAGTACATCAGTGACACCAGCTTTCGCAAACTTTGGGAGAGAATTGCGGCTGCCTGCAGACCTGATCACCGGAATACCACCTGATGCCCCACGCAGTATAACCGATTATGCAAATGACTTGCGGAACAAAATGAATGACATTTATGAGCACGTCAGACAGACGGGCCAGCAAACGTCTGAGAAGATGAAAACACGGTATAACCGCAAAATGAACAACAAGGGGTTTGATGAAGGTTCACTAGTGTGGTTACACAATCCAGCTCGCAGCAAAGGGAAATCTCCTAAGCTTCAAGCTAAATGGGACGGACCGTACCGGATTGTGACAAGGATCAATGACGTAACCTACCGGATACAGAAAGGTGTCAGAGGTACTCCTAAGATTGTCCATGTGGATCGACTGGCGCGTTATTATGGGGCCAATAATGCTCGGGACGAGCATGTCTTAGGAGGGGGCAGTGTTACGCGCCACTAATTATGTCTTGTACATGGCAACACTAGTTACACTAGCGCCCTCTGGTGTCGAGTAAAAGAAAGTGTTGCGCGTCACTATTAATGTCTTGTACATGGCAACACTAGTTACACTAGCGCCCTCTAGTGTCGAGTAGCAGAACTAGGAGAGTCGAGATCCTTCCAGAAATTTCGGGACCGATATGTACTCGAACATTCTAGATGTCGCTACAGTGGAAGGTTCTGGAAACTGTCAGAGGCCCTATATAAGGCCGGTATGGACCACGACCAAGGCAGTATTGAATTGGCGATACAAGAGAATACTTCGAAGCGAAATGAAGGCGAACTGTGTTTTATTATTAGTGTGATTTTAAGTTGTAATTAGTGTTGTGTAATTAAAGTGTCAATTTTGGTAATTCAATCGGCAGTTTTTAATTGTCTCGAACCCCAAGCTCGTAACAGTATTATATAAATCTATATATATATTTTTAGAACATCTCTATTCCATAAACTCTTAAATTCAATTTACTATGGAGTTAGAGGCAAATAATTCTTTAGCTTTCCTAGATGTGTTAGTCATTCGAAATCCTAATAACACCATAGATCACACTGTGTATAGAAAAAAGACCCATACAAACCGATATTTAAACGGTGAATCCCAGCATCATCCTTCACAGTTAGCTACCGTGGGCAAATCTTTGTTACAGAGAGCACGAGGGATCTGTGACAGCAAACACCTGGCCTCCGAGCTTCAGCACGTCAAGCAGGTTCTGCACGACAACAAGCTTCGGGTCCCACGCCTACGTCACAATCACAGAGTGAAGCCGGCCACAGTCGAGCGTGTGTCTACTGTACTACCATATGTTAGAGGTGTCACAGACAAGATTGGCTACATCTCGAAGCGAGCTTCTATTAGAACATTCTTCAAGCCGCCGAAGAAGATTAGTCAGTTCTTACCATCCGTCAAGTGCAATATTCCTCTACAAGATGCAGGAGTGTACAAGCTTGATTGTGAATGTGGTCTCTCATATATAGGGCAAACAAAACGATCAATAAAACCCGTGTAAAAGAACACATAGCTGACGTGAAGCACCAACGTTCCGGGAAGTCTGCAGTTTGTGATCATATCCTAGACGGCCCCCGCCATTACATTAGATTTGATAAACCACAAATTCTCGTGAAAGAACATCGATTCCTGCCAATGATGATACGTGAGGCTATTGAAATTAAAAAACATCCTAATTTCAATAAAGAGGGAGGTTGGGTACTACCACCTGCTTGGGATCCTGTAATTAATAAAATTAAAACTAAACCCAAGCATACCACTGCAAGACTTCAAGATACAGTAAGTCCATTCTGCATAGATCGGACCAAAATTAATAATTAAAAAAGCTGAAGGTACTCGAGATTCTCTGACATCAATTACCTCAGTCCCCCGTGACCATGGGTGCTGGAAAGCACCCGAAACGTCGAGAATTAATAAAAATAAGCAAAATAAGTTAATTAAACGCGATAAAATCCGTAAAAGTAGTTTTATTCCTTATAGGATCACTTTGTTTTCCGTCCGTCTGTCTGTCTGTCAAGACCCTTTTTCTCAGGAACGCGTGGAGGTATCAAGCTGAAATTCATATCAAATACTCATGTCTACTGTCCCTTGGAGCTGTGAAAAAATCAAACTTCTAAATCAACGCAATCAAAACCTACTGGGTACTTCCCGTGAACTTAGAATCTTAAAATTTGGTACGAAGCAACGTATTATAGCACAGATAAAGGAAAAATTGCGAAAAGCATAAATTTTTTGTTACATCATATAATAAAAATATTTTTAATAATTTTAAACTATATATATTCGGATTTGTTCGGAAACCTCGGTGCGCGAGTCAGACTCGCACTTGGCCGGTTTTTTTGTTATGTGGCCCCTATAGGTAAAAGCCTCCATGCTTTTCCATCTTTCCCTGTGTGTCAACTTTTTCCTGCTGTGTTTATTATATCATCGGACCATCTTTTCTTCTGTCTTTCCACATTTCTTTTGCCTTTTGGGCCCTGCCATTTAGTTGTTTGGCAAGTCCATCTCTTATCTTTGTATCTCGACAAGTGCCCTGCCCAGTTCCATCTCTGTTTCAAAGTAAAATTAAGAGCATCTGTTAATTTTACTTTCATGCGGATCTGAGTTTCTCGTTTTTTGGTTTTTTTCCCAGTTTCAGTATACTACGTTCCATTGCATGTTGGCAAGATGAAATTTTGTTTTTTACTTTTTCAGTGAAGACCCAGATCTGGCTAGCATAAGTTAAGAAGAATGCAAGAATCCATTATAGTCTTATTTATATTAAGACATAGTTTCCTTTTAGAAATTATTTTTGGGCCCAGTATTTTTTCCATGCTGTACTTATTCGTCTATTTCGTTTTCGTTGCTGTTTGCATCAAAGTACACCAATTTACAGTCTGTCAAGAAACTCATGACAAAAAAGGAGGGCGCCACTATCTTTTATACGGCATCCCTATAGACTTCAACCGAAAAGTTTTGATACTTTTTATTTTATTTCATAAACCGATTTAATATTATGGTCCCATTTACTGTCATATTTTTTCAAGTACATGCTTTTATTGCGTAACCCTTGACCCTTGTAAATCCCAGCAACAATAATTAGTTAAATTCACATACTTAATAATAGAGATAATTTGACTGTGTATCCTACAAGTAATTAGCGAAAGCAGGTTTAACACAAGACCAGCCTTGACAGACAGCAGACACCCAAGGTTCAAAAATAAAACAAAAAAATGTTGATACATAGTTATTATATTTTGGTTATTAATCTGAGTCAAAATAATCTTAGTCGAGGTATTCAACTCCTAAAATGTTGCCTGAAGCTCCTGCGTAATTAAATTGGTACATTTCTGACTCTTCAGATTCACTGGAACTATCATCGCTTACTGAGATGACAAGTTTGTCTATATCATTATACAGAAATCCTCCACGGGCATAATATTGATCGTCGTGGTACGACTTTCCATTGACGTCAGTGGAGTTTGGTGTTGATACGTATTTTTACAGAAAGAGTACACTATTATAAGCACACACATAAAGTCTCAATATACGGAAACGCGTAATTTTTGAGAAAAGAATAATTGAAAATCAATTATTCGTGCAATGTTTATGTCTAATCTGCTAATAAACTGGCGCCATTTTGTAATGTCATTGTCGACGTCAATAGGGATGTCGATTCTTTCCGAAAAAGGTCGATTTTTAAATCGATTCAAATCGTAAGCTGATGTATCGATTCCCAAAAAATCGATTTCTAAAATATCGATATTTTTTTCATGTTTGCATTTATAATGTAAATATAAATCCATTTTATGAGAAAAAAATCCCCTTCATCATAAAAAAATAAGGGGACTGATTCATAAGGATTTCTGTATCTATTTTGAGACTGCTACGTCTCCGGCGCTGCGGGAAGAGCAACCTCTACGCCTTAGCGTAACAAATCGCAGGCATCCCTCCTCGCCTCTGCAGCTTCGGCTTGTCCGATGCCTACGATTTGTTACAGCAGGCGGAGGCTGCTCCCCCTACGCGCCTCCGGCTCTATAAAACCACTCTAGGGGTAGGACAGACTCGTACCAGGTGGAGTCGGGGTCAATCAATTCGGTTCTTTGACATAAGTTGAACCTAACCTATTTTATTTGTTATCTGCCCTAATAGGTACTGTTAAATAAAACAAATTTCAATCAGAGATCATTTATCATGGTATCTTTCTTGTTTTTCATAAAATGGGTTTATATTTACATTATAAATAGAAACATTAAAAAAATATAGATATTTTAGAAATCGATTTTTTGTGAACCGATACATCAGCTTACGATTTGAATCGATTTAAAAATCGACCTTTTTCGGAAAGAATCGACATCCCTATTGACGTCGACAATGACATTACAAAATGGCGCCAGTTTATTAGCAGATTAGACAAACATTGCAAGAATAATTTATTTTCAATTATTCTTTTCTCAAAAATTACGCGTTTCCGTAGATTGAGACTTTGTGTGTGTGCTTATAATAGTGTAATCTTTCTATAAAAATACGTATCAACACCAAACTCCACTGACGTCAATGGAAAGCTAAGCCTTATTCATATCTAAACAAATAATGCAAAAGGATCAAAACTATTGACTGTGTAGTATAATTCTTAAACAAATTTCATAACCTCAACTATTTGTAAACAATATAATAAAACGGATAAATTATACTTAAAAACAAATGATAGATATGAGATTACAGTTTTTTTTATTGTGTTTAACATTAAAATACATGTACGTACCAGTTATCTTTGCTGTTCGACCATAAACATCGTCTAAATCGGAAAGGAACTTTCCCGCTTGAAATTCGGCCATACACTCTTGAAACACTTTAAATATGACTTGTCTGGGATACCGCCCTATATATAATGTACTCTGTGGGTACCGCTCTTATAAAAACTGCGTTTCATTTTTGATCTGGAAAGACTAAACAGTCATAAGATAAGAAAACTTGAAATATAACAAAAAATCTTAGAGCACATCAACTACAAAGCTACGATATGACAGCTGAGTTAGGTTACTCAGTTTGACAATAGACAATAATTTATTGTTGCCAGTGCAAGCAAAAGCAGTAGTTCCTAAAGTATTCTTTTCATAACTTTCTTGACAGACTATACCTAGGTGCACATATTAATTTGTATATTATATCGATTTTTCCTCTACTTTGATTGTTTTCTTTCGACTGTTTGACATTATTTTAGTTTTGGATACGTTCATGTGTAGACGGAGTTTTTTGCTTTCAAAGTTTTATCTTTGTAGCATTGCTTCTAAATCTGTCGCGGATTCACTAAAAAGATCATCATCTACAATCCTTAGGTGTGTTAGTTTATTATTGAGTATCCCCATATGCCTTTATTTTCCCAATTTATGTTTTTGAAAATGTCTTAAAGTACAGCTATGAATAGCTTTGGAGACAACGGGTCTCCCTGCCGCACCCCTCTACCAATTGTGAACTCT